TCCTTTTGCCTATTTTAATCCACTGATTTTTTAAAACTATTTTTATAGTTTTATATAGTTGGAATCATATATGGAGCCTTTTCAGATTGGTTTCTTCCACTTAGCAATATGCATTTAAGGTTCTTCCTTGTCTTTTCAAGGCTTGATAGCTCAATTACTTTTTATCACTGAATAATATTTTATTGTATGTATGAACCATAGTTTATTCATTTACTGAAGAGCATCTTGGTTCCTTCCAATTTTTGGCAATTATGAATAAATTCTTTTAAAAAAAAATTAAAAAGTGCCTACACAGAACAGTTGCAAGAATACAAAAACCTTCCAAATAATCTTTATCCAGATTTTCCAATTAACATTTCACTCCATCTGGTTTATTGTTTGCTCTCTTTCTCCCTTGCTCTGTATATACATTTATTTCTAAATCATTGGAGAGTAATTTGCAGACATCATATCCCTTTCTCCATAAATATTTCAATATGTATTTCCTAAGAACAAAGACACACTCACTCACTCACTGTGGATATCTCCCAGAGTAGATAATTAAACCTCGCTGTCAAGTAAAGAACAGAAATTATGTGATTCTTTAATTTCATTTAATACAAGACATGTTATTTATTGCACCTTCAAAAGGAGTTTGGGTAACAAACTGGATTTATATACTCATTTCCTGTGCTCTTCCATTGAGAATAGCATGGACCAAGTGATCCAGTATCACCTCACCAGCGCTGAGATGTCTCTGAATGAGCCCTAAGACAAAAAGGGCATTCAGGGGGCATTCCTAGAGAGTGAGCTTTTTGAGCAGAAGAAGCCTCACATATTACAAAGCTGTTTTGGAATTAGATTTGCTTTAAAATCTATTCTCTCTATAAAGCATCTTGGACGATTCTCTAGCAAATAATGTTAATGTGACAGTTTTAATATGTTTAGAGTTTTGTTGCTCAAATCTTTGACAACTGGTAAGCAGTGAAAGGAGGCAAACCCTCCATATACTGGTCTTTAAAAAAAAAAGATTTTATTTATTTACTTGAGAGAAAGAGCACAATCGGGGTGAGAGGCAGAGGGAGAAGCAGGCTGTCTGCTGAGCAGAGAACCCAATGCAGGGCTTGATCCCGGGACCCTGGGATCATGACCTGAGCCAAAGGCAGACGCCCAACTGAGTCACCCAGGCGCCGCCCATATACTGGTCTTTTTAACTTATCAAACATCCAGACTGACTGTAATTAACAAGTCTGTATTGTATACTTGAAATTTGCTAGGGGAGGGGCACCTGGGTGGCTCAGTCCTTAAGCGTCTACCTTCAGCTCAGGTCATGATCCCAGGGTCCTGGTATCGAGCCCCGCATCAGGCCCTTTCCTCTGTGGGAAGCCTGCTTCTCCTTCTCTCACTCCCCCTGCTTGTGTTCCCTCTCTCGCTGTGTCTCTGTCAAATAAATAAATAAAAATCTTAAAAAAAAAAAAAAATTTGCTAGGGGAGTAGATCTTATGTGTTTTTACCCACCCCCCCAAAAAAAGAAAAAGTAACCATGTGAGGTGATGAATATGTTAATTAGCTTGATAATTAGTTTGATTGTGGTGATTTCACAATATATACATATATCAAATTATCAAATTGTATACCTCAAATATATACAGTTTTTGTCAATTAGACCTCAATAAAGCTGGAAACAAATTCTGAAGGGTGAGAAAAGCAGAGAGTAGCTGTGCTGTAAAGCAGTGATTTCAATAAACATGGTGAGTAAATGTAACATGGGTTAGAAACAATTCAAATCTTGGTTCCCACACAGATAGTGCGCATTTGTTTTCCCCCCAGTGGCCTGCAGTTAGAGGGAGGTATATACATTATTCACAATTTCAAGTAACAGAAAGTGCTGTAGATCAGCACCAGTCAACTGCAAACAATTCAGGCTCAAGTGACACTTAAAATCATCACATTAATTCCATGCCAAAGGTAAAACTCAAATGTCATGGGCGGGGTTTACCGCTGGTAAAGTCCCACAGACCCCGTATGTGGCCCATACAGGAGGGTTTGATAACTGTTTTACCTAGTTGGGAAAAGGGACAGGGAGAAAATATCCAAATGAATGTGAATCTTCTCTTTTCCACCATACCGTTCCCTAATCCCCCTAGAGAATTGTCGTGTTATGTAAATTAACCCACTGCCTTCTTTCTTTAAAAGCTGATACTCTACATCAAACTTTTTTTTTAAAGATTTTATTTGAGACAGAGAGAGCACAAGCAGGGGGTAGGGGAGAGGCAGCAGGCAGAGGGAGAGGCAGGCAGGGAACCCCATGTGGGGCTCGATCCCAGGACCCCAGGATCATGAGCTCAAGGCAGACTCTTAACCGACTGAGCCACCAAGACACCCCAGCATCAAACTCTTTCTTCAGCAAATAGTTTAAAAATGAATGAAGATGCCACCCAGAGGGGCACCCGGCGGGCTCAGCATGCAACTCTTAATCTAAGGGTCGTGAGTTCAAGCCCCACACTGGGTGTGGAGCCTACTTAAAATAAAAAATAAAAATAAAAAATAATTTTAAAAAAGATGACACCCAGAAAGGAAAGCATATTCATGGTGGTTCTAGGAACTGTAGCTCCAGAAGTTACCATTAGCAAGCGTCATTGGACAGTATGTGGTTTTAGGATGCAGACTGAACCATAAGTCAAGCTTCAGGAAGTGTGATTTTTGGTTACTATGGTAACTTATTGGAAAAAAAATCAACTTCTTTGCAGTTATCACAGAACAAGCAAACAAAAGAAGGAAAAAAAAGACATGGATTAAAACAGAGCCCTTGGGGCACCTGGCTGGCTCAGTCGGTGGGGCCTGCGACTCTTGATCTCAGGGTTGTCAGTTTGAGCCCCAAGCTGGATGTAGCGATTACTGAAAAATAAAATCTTAAAAAGAAAAAAAAAGGGATGCCTAGGTGGCTCAGTCAGTTAAGCGTCTGCCTTCGGCTCAGTTCATGATCCCAGGGTCCTGGGATCAAGCCCTGCATGGGGCCCTTTGCTCCGCTGGGAGCCTCCTTCTCCTTCTCCCTCCGCCTGCAACTCTGCCTATTTGTGCTCTATCAAATAAATAAATAAAAATATTTTAAAGATTTTTATTTATTTATTTGACAGAGAGAGACACAGCAAGAGGGAACATAAACAGGGGGAGTGGGAGAGGGAGAAGCAGGCATCCCGCAGTCAAGGAGCCGGATGCGGGACTTGATCCCAGGACCCTGGGATCATGACCTGAGCCGCAGGCAAACGCTTAACGACTGAGCCACCTAGGCGCTCCAATAAATAAAATCTAAAAAAAAAAAAAAAGCACATATATAGAGAAAGGGAGAGAATAGTAAAGCAAATGTGGCAACTCTTGGTAGATGAACCAATACAATACCCAGAAACTGGCTACCTCCACATTTCTTACACGTGAGAAAAATAATTCCCTGAATCGGTTAGCTAGTTTGCATTTTGCAGCTGCAACTGTTGCTAATGGATTATTCAGCCAACTCCAATTCACCTTCTACAAGTGAAGAATCACGCTATAAAACTGACACTCTGAAAGAGAGAAACGGACTTAGAGTTCTAGTAACTTAACAAAAGGCACTTAACTACATGGTGCTTAAGTACAGTAACTTCTAAAGTGCAAAAATCAGAATGAGATTTGTGATGAGTGCTTTGTAAAACGCAAAGTGCTATACAAATACGAGAAGTTTTTAAAGCTGAGTTTATGCTTTTTTTCCCCACTTTTATGCTGTGTTTAAGATGTTGGCCAGAAAAGTTAACACTGTAGAAACACTATTTTGTTGCACACAGAACTCTTTATGTTCATTGCTGGCTTATAAGGAAATCCCTCTGCATCAGTATTTAGGTCTTTCTCTGTACAACTACATAGGAGGTAGCAAACTGTTACACTGTCTATAATTCAGAAGCTTAGGAAAGCCAGTACCTATTTCTGGCTCCTTTAAAGGAGGCATAGTCAAAATACACTGCTTAATGCTCCAGGCATTGTGTGAAGTGGCTTACATATCTTGTGTAATTCTCACAAAAATTCAGTGCATTTCATGCAATTGTTATTTCATCACATGTAAATGAGGAAGATAACTATACTTTATTTCATAGGGCTGTTGTAAGGATTAAGAGTCTATACATAAAGCACTTAGCACAGTAGCGGGCAAAAAGTGCTAAATATACATTTACCATTTACTGGTACCCTTATTTTACTGATAGACACAGAGAAAATCAATTTTCTGCCTTTTTCTATTTTTCTTTTTTTTTTATTTTATTTTATTTATTTATTTGATAGAGAATTAGAGACAGATAGCAAGAGAGGGAAGAGGGTCAGAGGGAGAAGCAGACCCCCCGCTGAGCAGGGACCCCGATGTGGGACTCGATCCCGGGACTCCAGGATCATGACCTGAGCTGAAGGCAGTCGCTTAACCAACTGAGCCACCCAGGCGCCCTCTATTTTTCTTTTTTAAAAAATTACCTCCCCGTTCAAGAGGGGGAAACAGGAAATCCCCATGACCGCGGCTGAGCTTAAAAGCCAGGAGACCCCTGTTTTGATCTGGAGCTCAACTGTCCTCACCCCGTACCTACCAACGCCTGGCTAAGCGAGCTGCTCAGTAAGTACTTGCTGAATTAACGAATTAATTCTAGCCTGGGTTAGCTAGATCTTTCTGGGTTGGGTAGAACTTTCAAGTCTCTTCGCTGGTGCCCCATCTGCAGACCCGGAAGAGGCTGTTCAGACCTCTTCGGGGAAACGACCTCGTCGTCCCTTCTCAAAAGCAGGTTACCGAGGGCCGTCGCCCCCGAGCCACTGCGACTTCAACGGTCCCAACCTACACTCACCACACTCTGCAATGGACTCTGCCTGCCCCCGTTGCAGGCCACTGCCACATTTCCGCCGCCCCCGCCTCCTTCCGGGAAGGCGCACGCGCACTGCGAAGGCCTCAGCGCGCCGCACTTCCCTGCGAACTACACCTCCCACAATCCCAATCGGCCGGACCACCCCCTCGGGGCAGGTGGGAGCGGGGGCGGAGCGGATCGCCCCGAGGCGGGGCGGAGCCTTCCGAATTGTCCTGCCTGTGTGCCCAGGGTAGAGTTCGTTTTAGGCGAGGTTCTTGGGTTTCCTGTTAAAGTAGGACCTCTGTCCCGATTAGGTCCGATTCTGTCCTCCGTCCCCACTGTGGTCCCCTCAGGGCTAGCCGACCGATGGTTTAGTCCAGCGGAGACACTCCCCCTGGGCCGCAGCGAGATGGCAGAGAGCGAAGGGCAGACCGCGCACGCATGCGCAGAGGCGCAGCATGGGGGCGGGAGCCGCTAAGCGCCTTCCCCAAGGCTGTGGAGGTGAGTAGGGGACGGGGCGAGGCGTGTCCCGCGTCAGGACTGACCGCTGCCGCGCAATGGCCACCGTGGGCTCAGCCACCACCATCCCAAGTCTAAAGCCGTTGACCCCAACTGTCCAGAAAATTGGGGTCCCCAGGAGCTCAGTTTTAGCGTTTGTACATCAAAGTCCCACTTGCACTTAAACCACTTCTGGCATTTCATCGCCATTGTCTCGGTGTAAGTTGTCCTCTTCTGCTAAACCATGCGTTTTATTTTATTTTTTTTTAATAACGTGTCGGGAGGGCCCCCCTTTCATCTTGGTTTTCTAGCACGTAGCAAACAGCTCCTTCTTGATAAGGTGGGAACTTCAAGTCTTTTGGACCCTTGATTCTATTCAATGTAGTGTCAGAGTAGGTACATACTTGCTCGTGTTCTCTGTTTCATGTGTGGTAAGTCTCATGAGAAGACTCCTTGAGACGATGAAGACAGTATTACACTAAGATGGAGTGGAGGTGATGAAGTTTATAATCTGCTAGGGATACAGAGAATTAAGCAAGACCTTATTGTGCCCTAAACCTGACCATTTTCCTTACACCTTGCTGTGTGACTGGGTTATGTTGCTTAACCTTCTGGGCCGACATTTTCTCTTAAAATGATAAGATTGGATTAAATCTCTAAGAACCTACCAGCTGTGAAATTCTGTGGTTGGTTAGTGAGGAGTAGAATCCAGATTATATCACAATATGTTAATACTAAGCATCATCGACTTCCATTTTTCTGCTAACAAAAGTGAAGTATAGCTATAAGCATTTGGCAGCAGCATTAGAAAGAACTGCCCCTTATTGTACCTGTAATTTCCTTATTGCTGAAAATACGAGATTTGCCGATAATACAGCTTTCTTCACTCTATATTTGTTGTCTGTTTGTAGACCATCTCTAGGAAGATACCTGGGTACAATTATGAACACGATGTATGTGACAATGGCTCAAATCTTAAGATCTCATCTGATAAATGTTTCAACGATATCTAATAGAGTGAAAATGCTCCCATATCTTGGTGTCATTAGAAATAGAATGATGTCAACTCATAAATCCAAAAAGGAGATGAGAGAATATTATAGGCTGCTAAGTCTGGATGAAGGGTGCTCTGCAGATGATGTCAGGGAATCTTTTCATAAGCTTGCCAAGCAATACCATCCAGACGGTGGCTCTAGTACTGCGGATTCTGCAACATTTATAAGGATCGAAGAAGCTTATAGGAAGGTGCTTTCTCACGTGCTAGAACAAACAAATGCCCGACCGAATAAAGTTGAAGAAGCAGAGGAAGAAGAAGACAAATTCAAATATAAAACACCCCAACACCGGCATTATTTAAGTTTTGAAGGTATTGGTTTTGGAACTCCAAGTCAACGAGAGAAGCAATATAGGCAGTTTAGAGCAGACCGTGCAACTGAGCAAGTGATGGAATATCAGAAGCAGAAACTACAAAGCCAGTATTTCGTCGATAGTTTGATTGTTAAAGATGTAAGACAGAGTAAAGAACAAAAGATAACTCAAGCTATAGAGCGTTTAGTAGAGGATCTCATTCAGGAATCAATGGCCAGAGGAGACTTTGACAATCTCAGTGGGAAGGGAAAACCTCTAAAAAAATTTTCTGGCTGTTCATATATTGATCCCATGACTCACAACCTTAACAGAATATTGATAGATAATGGATACCAACCAGAATGGATCCTAATGCAAAAGGGAATAAAGGATACCATTGATCAACTCAGAGAGGCGATTTTAGTGTCAAGGAAAAAACTTGGGAATCCAATGACACCAACTGAACAGAAACAGTGGAGCCAAGTTTGTGAGCAGTTTCAAGAAAACATCAGAAAACTAAACAAGCGAATTAATGATTTTAATTTAATCGTTCCCCTCCTGTCCAGGCAAAAAGTCCATTTTGATGCACGGAAAGAAATTGCCAGAGCCCAGGAAGTGTATGAAAGCCTTATAAAAACAGAAGAAGTCACAGATAAAAACCCAGCCAACACTGATGAGGGAGAAGGGGAGAAAACACCTGAAGTCAAGACAAGTTTTTTTAACTGGATGAATGTGTGGAAATTTATTAAAATATGACCACTTAAATATTCACAGTACTGCCTCAAACCATTTTCAGTTGTACTGACATCACACTTAGAAGCTGAGATTTATTGCTGTAACACAAGAGTCTGAGAACTGTGAGTCTCTGTACTTTTTACAAAACTAATCACCTCTCCAGTGATGTGTGAGTGAGAAAGCTGTAAGAAACTGAGCCTGAGAAACATTGAACCAGCTTTGCTCTGAGGGTGTTGCAAGAAAAGAAGAGAACTCCTAGGAAAACAATTTAACCCATTCTGGAGTTTAAATGTCAGTCATGGGTAAAATGAGGTAGGACAAGGACTCAGACGGGATCATATAAAGGATATTCCGAAAAGTCTTAGTGCAGTTTTCAGCTCTAATACCTCAAAAACAGTTGCTGATGCCATCTTCAAACATAGTTACTGAAACAAAGCACAACAAAAAACCTTAAAAAGTATTATCAAAGTTCACAAAACTAAAGAAGTATAGACTGTAGGCAAGCAAACCTTCACATGATGAATGTTTCTTGCAAGGTTGCTGCATTTATACACCTGAGGTTATTAAAGCTTACAACTGTTCTAAGACTTTTAGGACACTCTATGTGGGTGGAAATGTTACAATCAGGAAATTAGCCCAATGGAGTTAATGCACTCTTCCTTTTTCATAGACCTTCTCTGTGGGTACTGAATAAAAACAAAACAAAACCAAAAAGCACGAAATACCTGGGTTGTACTTTTTCCTGCCTAACTTCATTATCTTGGCTGTAGAAATCCATCAGCCGGACGCCTGGGTGGCTCAGTTGGTTAAGCGACTGCCTTCGGTTCAGGTCATGATCCTGGAGTCCCAGGATCAAGTCCCACATCAGGCTCCCTGCTCGGCGGGGAGTCTGCTTCTCCCTCTGACCCTCCCCCCTTCATGCTCTCTCTCTCTCTCTCTCAAATAAATAAATAAAATCTTTAATAAAAAAAAAAAGAGGGCGCCTGGGTGGCTCAGATGGTTAAGCGTCTGCCTTTGGCTCAGATCATGATCCCAGGGTCCTGGGATCGAGTCCCACATCGGGCTCCCAGCTCAGCGGGGAGCCTGCTTCTCCCTCTGACCCTCTCCCCTCTCATGCTGTTTCTCTCTCGCTCGCTCTCTAAAAAATAAATAAATAAAATCTTTAAAAAAAAAAAAAAAAAGAAATCCATCAGCCAAGCTAGTTGATATAGCTGTTCTAGAAATAGACTCCAGTGGCCACTTTTAAAAGAGTTTGGGTGTATTCTCTGCCCTTTTGGAGGTAAAAGAAAAAAAAAACTCCTTGGGCTCAGTGGAAACTTAAGGTTTCACTTCTGGCTTCGTCTCTAAGTTTACCTGAAGCCTCTCTGTGTCATGTTTCAGATTCCCCAGAGGCTTTTTCCATCTGAAAATCTCAGTGTAGGGATCCAATTTCTGATCTGAGGAACCCTTTCATAAATGAAAAGATGTCTGAATTTTGCGCCAGTTTGCACTTTTGGCAAATGACAAGAGATTGATATTCATGAGATTGTTGCGTTCTGTCCACTTTCAGAAAATAACTTTTTTAGGTTTGCGTAATTGCGTTAGCCACAGAATTGGGCAACTAGAAGAATATAGAGAGTGGTCAAAGGGAGCGGATCTGTTTCCTTATTGAACTCAGAGTTCTGGATTATGGATGTGGTTCAGAAGGGGCACTTGCCACTCTGATTTTGAAAGAACAAGTTATTTTGTAAAGTGCATGATGGTTAAGTAAAACTACGTCTTCAAAGGAAATGTCAGGACTTTCTGCTTAGATGATGGGGTAATTAATTGGTATAATATGTCATTGTTTTACTGAATGAGTTATGTGCCTTCTCCAATTACGGCATTATTCTAAACAAAATTGTGAACAGTAGGTAATATAGCTACATAATAAGAACTATAGTTATAAAACATTTTAGAAGGCTAGGATTCTGTGAATCTTGTTAAGAGTGGGGAATTAGAGGTGCGCCTGGGTGGTTCAGTCGGTTAAGCGTCTGCCTTCAGCTCAGGTCATGATCCCAGGGTCCTGGGATGGAGCCCCACATCGGGCTCCCTGCTCGGCGGGGAGCCTGCTTCTCCTTCTCCCTCTGTTCCTCCCCCTGCTTGTGTGTGCGCGCACTCTATCTCTCTCAAATAGAATAAACAAAATCTTAAAAAAAAAAAGAATGGGAATTAGATGTATGACACCTATTTGCATTGCAGCAACATAATACAAAGGAAACCATTTTGGGGCTCCTGGGTGGCTCAGTCAGTTGGGCATCTGCCTTCAGCTCAGGTCATGATCCTGGGGTCCTGGGATTGAGCCCCGCATTGGGCTCTCTGCTCAGTGGGGAGCCTGCTTCTCCCCCTCCCACTCCCCCTGCTTGTGCTCTCTCTCTCTCTCTCTCCCTGTCAAATAATTAAATAAATCTTTAAAAAAAAAATCAAAGGAAACCATTTTCAATATTGGATAACGGGAAGGTAAAGTTACCAGAAAGCACTAGTAAATCCTTAATTTCAGCACAGCATGCTTTATGTTTGTAAATGTTGTCTATATTAATAAGGTGAATAAAGTTCATTTGAATGATTATACAACGGTCCCTTGTTATATAAACAACTACTAAGAATAATAACCGTATTTTTGGCTGATCACCTGAATAAATACTTTTTCTCTTTTTGATTGATGATATAAAAACTGTGAACAGAGATTATTCCTGTGAAGAAGGCAATTTCACTTATGGAAAAACAGATTCACTAATTGAAGGAACTAAGTTTCAGGCCAGAGAAAAGATTTTGGCCGGTTGGTCAGCGTTTGTTGAATGGTGATCTGACGCTCCTCTCTCCTCTGAGGCAGCCTTGACCTTTTTCTGTTAGTGTTTCACCTTCTAACTTTGCCACCTGGATTTTCAGGTGTAGTAGTAGGGTCTGAACTCATTACTAGGCATGCATCAAACTCTGCCTGATTCCCAGCCTTGGATTTCAGGGCTCCTTTCTTCAGGTTCTAGGACCAGGACCCTGGTCCAACACCCTGAAGACAGAATCTCAAAATCCCTGTGGCTTTTGGCTCCCAGCTGTATGAAATGGTTTTTGCCCTTGTTCTGTGTACCTGAGTCTGGTTTGGTACCTCCGGGCTCTAGTTTTCTGTTCCTTGATAGAACCGTTGCAGTATTATTCCTTTTCTTTTCTTTTTTTTTTTTTTAAGATTTTATTTATTTATTTGAGAGAGAGAATAAGAGAGAGAGAACACATGAGAGGGGATAGGGTCAGAGGACGAAGCAGACTCTCTGCCGAGCAGGGAGCCCGATGCGGGACTCGATCCCGGGACTCCAGGATCATGACCTGAGCCGAAGGCAGTCGCTTAACCAACTGAGCCACCCAGGCGCCCAGTATTATTCCTTTTCTTCATCGAGCTACCAGGACAGAGCTCTGCTCTTGGGGGTGGGGAGCCTCCCAGAGATGGGAGTCCCTTGTGACCTTATCTCTATGACCAGGACCTGCTACTTCCTGACATACGTCCCTGCTGCCAACTGCCTGGGACTGCCATCACTGGGACCCAGCCATTGTTTGGGACATACTTGGTACCTCTCAGACACCCCTCACGCTGGTTTGCTTGTTCCTAGAAGTATTGCCTTTCCTTTTCGATAATGTTCTGTTCATTCGACATACATTTATCCAGGTCCTGAAAGGGAAGCTCCGTTCCACCATCTGGATGATCAGAAATCAGTAACTGGGGGGGGGGGGGGGGGGGGGGCCGCAAATGGACCCCTCAGCCCCAAATGTAACCCCCAGATACTCATTTTGCTTGACATTATTGCTGCCACCACCACCCTGCTTCCCGGGCAGGGGGCACTGGCCTCCCTCTCCTCCCCTGGCCTAAGGGCAGACCCACAAATGTGGCATAATACTTCTTGCCCAGCTGAGACCAGACTGGAACTTCAAATTACAACTTGCCTCAAGGCTTGGGATGACATAAGCAAAGGGAAGACAGTCCCTGGGACAGGAGAACCTGGCCTGTGGCCCTCCCCAGTTTGTTTCTGAGCCCAGTCCCCAGCCTGCTGTAGAATGGCAGAGCCCACCACCCTCCCACCTTTGAGAGAATCCTCAGGTGCACTCAGTATGCCTCCACTCCCCCAAATCTAGATTTAGGAAACTAAAGACTAAGGAATTTTCTTTCCTGCTGAGACCAACTTCAGAGGTCTGGCTTCCTCTTTGAGGACCCACGTTTTCCCTAGATGATTGATGTATGGCCCTATCCCCCAGGCCCCCTATATGACAGGTCCTATCTGAGAGTCTCAACAGGACAGATATATCAAAGAGGCTTAACATTGTTATAAGAGAGACCTACTCCAAAAAGAGAAATAAAGTTTTTTTTTTTTTTTTTTCAGATTTTATTTATTTGACAGAGAGAGCACAAGCAGAGGGAGAGAGAGGGGGAAGCAGGCTCCCTGCTGAGCAAGGAGCCCGATGTGGGACTTGATCCCAGGACCCTGGGATCATGACCCAGGCGGAAGGCAGCCGCTTAACCAACTAAGCCACCCAGGTGTCCCAAGAGATAAAGTCTTTAAAAAGATGGGGGAGGGGACACCTAGGGTGGCTCAGTCAGTTAAGTGTCTGCCTTTGGCACAGGTCATGCTCTCAGGGTCCTGGGATCCAACCCGTGTTGGACTCTGTGCTCAGCAGGGAGTCTGCTTGTCCCTCTCCCTCTGCCGCTCACGCTCTCTCTTTCAAATAAATAAAATTTCAGAAAAAAGAGAGAGACCTACTTGTAGTTGTGGGGCGGGTCCTTCCTGGTGTACCTTGAGGACCTTCTAGCAAGGAGCATGCGGTCCAATGGTGACTCAGCTTTAGAATTTTGAGCTGGGCCTTTCTGCTCAGTGTGGTTTCACCTCTGTGGGTGAACCCGGTTCCATGGCCTTGTCCTCTCCACTTTTCCACTTAGCCACAGTTTACACCATGATTTGCCCAGTTGAGCCCCAAGCTTCTCAGATTAGTTTAAAGATGTGGTCGACGGCTGTTGTACTTTGGCTCTGCCTCTCCTCTTTGAAATGCCTGTATTAATGGTGGTATATGTCGTTCATCTAGGGAGGATGTGGTTCCTAGCACAGGAAGTCAGACCTTCGAAGCTGCTCTTGACAGGAGAGAAGAGCCCTCATTTTCTTAAATCTGCTCGAAAATGGGCATGTGACCTAGGCTCTGCCAAGACCTGTCCTTGGGAGACATGATTCAGAATGAAGCACAGGAGGAAATAGGCTGGCTCTGTGTGGAAGTGGGGCGCCTGGGTGGCTCAGATGGTTAGGCGTCCGCCTTCGGTTCAGGTCGTGATCCCAGCGTCCTGGGACTGAGCACTGCGAAGGGCTCCCTGCTCGGCGGGGAGCCTGCTTCTCCCTCTCCTTCTACTGCTCCCTGTGCTTGTGCTCTCTCGAGCTCTCTGTCAAATAAAATCTTAAAAAAAAAAAAAAGTCCTTTTTCTGCTTAATCCAGCTGGAGGAGGGGCTGCCATTTTCAGCTAAGCACTGTGACGGATCCAGATGAGGTCATGAGAATCTCATGGTTTGGGCATACACGGCAACGATATGCTTGATTGTGGTGCAGGGGGTGTGTGGACTCTCATCAAACTCTCAGCTCTGTCACTTTGTAGGTGTGTGATCTTTTTTTTTTTAATTTTTTAAATTTTTTTTAAAGATTTTATTTATTTATTTGAAAGATAGAGACATAGC